CACCAATAAGCCTCACAATATCCCTGTGGTTATGGCTTAGTCTAAACACACAACGTCATTACTCCCTATATTCTATCCAGTCACGGTTTTTCCAAAGAAAAATCGTGACAGTATTCACAATGCAGGAAGATGCTCTCCCTATGTAAACCAATGCACTCCTGACGCACTAAACGAGGTAGAGCAGCTGCTAAAAATTGAAAGAAAAACCTGTGTTTCAGCAAAGCAGCAATATTTATTTTTTCTGTGTAATCAATAAGCCAATTATCCAATAAAACTCTTAAAAGACAATAATCGAACTTTAACCAATAAATTTTAGTTTGTCGACTAAGTCGACTTAGTCGACTTAGTTGATCAAGAGTCGGCTAAGTTGACTAAGTAAACTAGCCCCTAATCTTACAACTAGTGCTATTGATGTGCAAATCCCAAATTTCATGCGCATGGGAATTTTTCGGAATCGGCTTGCATTATAGTGGTTACTTAGGATTAATGTTTCAAAAGTCCCACTACTGATCCCTATTTTTTTAAGTTCTAAAACCTTTTCCTTACTAAGTAAACTGCTGCTGGGGCTTTAAGTAAAGTTGTAAAGCTCATCAAGATACAACTAAGGTGGGACCTTATATATAGATTACGATGATTATTTATACAAATATGTATATAAAGTCACTGAAAAAATAGGGACCAAGAGTAGGACTTTTGAAGCACCCGGTATATAAAAAATCATGTACCGGGTGGGTGAAAAGTCTTTAAATAGGCTCCTTCTGACATTTATAAATCATTGCAATATTGTATGTATAAATCTTAGCTGAGATAGTAAAAAGGGGATTGTTTAGAGACTTTTCCCCACCTGGTATAAAAATAAATAGAATTAAATATCAGCGGAGATAGAAAGAAGTCTCGTTTAGATCCTGTTTAGAGACTTTTCACACACCGGCATTATACTGCTTTGCCGGCATTAAAGGTATATATAAAAAATCATACGCATTGCACAACACTACTTACAACCCTAGTTAATTCAGAACTTATAATCACATAGTATAACCATTTAATTGAATAGATTACTGTTAACCTCTGAAATTAGATCCCATATAATGTAATAACAGCAATGTATTCCAAATGCCAAGAATACTAGATCTATTAGTTCTATTAGATATATTAGTATAGTAGAGCTAGCAGTATGATAACTAACTATCATAGTGCTTTAATATGTATAAAATAGCCGTACTATTGCTCTTGTAGAAGATCAACAACTCAATAATAAATAAAGAGGAAATGTGTCTTCATACGCGAATAACTCGAATAAATAATAAACATATTTACACGAATACTTAAATTTTCATATAAATTTAGCCGGTTTACTACTTCGTAACTGCAATAAATCATATATTTTACCTAAGTATAACATTGTTTAGTTATTAATTATCTAACATATCCGTCGCTAAAGTAAATTAGTTATACCGAACCTATAAGATGTAATTTCGGATGTAACATTAGTTAGGTAGACTAAGCAATATTAACGAAAAATTTGACACTGTATTTTCTGCGGCCTAATCAGATGGTATGCGAAAAATTAATTGGTAAACGAGACATGTAAAAAACTTTCGTGGGAAAATATGGGTTATCTAACACCATTGATTCAAAATCATATATGGTTCTAAGGAAGTTAAAACATTTTTATTGTACAATTTATTAAATGTATATTTAACTAATACAATTATATATAGGTTGAGCGGTTATTCTAATAAATTTAATTTAAGAAATTAAGTGATAATAAAATCCTTTTATAGAAACACTATTTAAATATTGAAATGATTAAAATGGCTTTAAAGGGTAAAAATAATAGCAAATTCTTTGCAGTATTGCATTAAGTTTTTCAAATCTTTGTTATTACTGACCTTTTGCATATTATTTAGAAAAATGTTATTTTATTATATCTTTGAACCTAGTTATATTATAAAGATTGTTACGAACCAAAATTTTAATTCAATTGTGGCTTATAAAGAATTCTAAACGTAAATAATTTATTACATGGCATGTATGTAAATTTTTTTATGAGTTTGTTGAATAGAGTTAAGATTCTGTTGTTATCAATCGTCTTCTGGAGTTGGATAATTTTTATTTTCATGTTAAATCTCAACAGAAGCTTTACCCTACGTCAAAACTTAAAGAATTGTGTTCTAAATTAATTACCTGATTCAACCTGGTAAAGCCTCGGATATAATCTTTCTAAAGATTGTTGTAATCCAACATGTGGATATATATCAGGTTTCTTTGACCAAGCTTGTTGTAACGCTTGTCTATAAGAAAGCGTTTGATGATGAAAATAAATGTATCCAATTCCTATTGATCCAGAACGCCCAATTCCAGCCCGACAATGAACAAGTGTTTTTCGTTTATTGTCTAACTGTTCCTGAATCCATTTCACACATGTGTTAATAGCGTCGTCTGGTATTCTATTATTTGCACCATCTTCCATAGGAACTTTCAAATATTCAATGCCCTCAAGTGTTTCCGGTGGAAGTTCCAATTCTTTTGCGACAGTCAAAACAGCTTGGAATCCCATATTTTTTGCTCTGCTTGCTGCAATATAATTCCCGACATACAGATCAGGTTCTATTTCGACAGCTCGAGGGCCATGAGTCCATGGAGAGTCAGGCGAAGGTGGCTTAACTTCAAATGTCCCATTTTTTCCGTATCGATTCGCCCAATCCCAATCTTTGTCTTGACTTTTCCAACGAACTGTATACTCGAAACTACCAGTAGCAGTTGGCAATATAGAACCTTGAAAGTTAACAATCCAAAATTTGGCAGTCGTAAGTGCACCTAAATCATTAGACCTTTTTTCATCAAAAGAAACAATATGTACACCCATATCTATCTCATGCCATTTTCCTTCAGGAGAATATTTATCAACCGAATTTGTCCAAATTTGAGCATTTAATATGGCAGGAACTATAGAGCACAATTTACTTTGTAAATCCTGGCTCGACACATCCAAAGGCAAAGGCAAGTTTTGTGTAATGCTTTCATCTATTTTTATTGTCAATGATAATGTAAACGGTTCTAGCATGTATCGCATTAGGCTTGAACCTAATGGTGGTTTGAGTTCTACAAAACTCATGTTGAAAGAATTGTAAATTTAGAAAAGAAAAGAAACAAATTTAATAAAGTTAAAAGAGAACAGGATAACTGTAAATTACTGTAATACTGTACGAATAGATAACTTGAACAAATCTAATTATAGAGCTTGCCATACAAATAGATACACATTTTTGTGGCAATCATATAATAATAATACTAAGACTAATTTATAATTCTAAGTGCACATGATGTCAATGATTGTTTAAAATTTGTCTAAATATGTTATACTGTACTTGTAAAAGTAATTACTCGTTTTTACTAATATGTCAAGGTGAGTTTAAATATGCCAATTAATGTGAAGGGCACTAACCTTCTTACTTTCTTATAATTACTCGAGATGGCTTAGTTGGAGTCTTCTCCCCAAACTTGAATTGGACTAATGTCAATTTTTCCTAGTATTGACACAGTAAGACATCTATATTAATCCAATTGATACAAAAGCTATTTTGATCTACTTTCATTGCATAAGAACTAGCATCTGATCTGAAGAATAATATACTCGGATATTTACTGAATAAACAAGTATCCGCATATAAACATCATGTCTGAGGTTGGTACCTAAAGTTGCACTGCCCGAACGTCCCTTGCGCTTGAATTAACTACCTGAAATTATAACTTGTTACTAAGTATTGAATAAAAAATTGATTTTTGAACATTTATATAAATGATTCGATCCAGTTTACGTGATGATATCTAGATTTTGAAAAAAAAATTTTTTAATGTACTAATAAATAATAATGATTGTTAAAGATTAGAGCAAAAGAACGATCACTTTAAATGCATAGAACATTTATTATAAGCGTATGTAATTTCTTATATATATTTAACTATATATTGAATCCAAATGTTGTTCCCATTTAAATTTTATGTGGGTTCATTTGAACCCAATTATGGACATCTGAACTTGAAGTGGGTTCAAAAATAGACCCAAAATTTGTGGTCTTTGCCTTGAAACATTTTCCTACCGGGCTAATTCGAACAAATAAAACAGACCAAAATACTGAGTTATTGATTCAATAGTTTATTGAACAAAGTATTAAATCAATAAAGACAAATGTGATTTATATATAATTATGAACCGATCATAAGGCAAAGACCCTTTTGTTCATTTGATCTTGAACGAACCCACCTCAGGTTTAAATGAACGCTATTCGGGTTCAAATAAACCTATACGTATTGGGTTACTCAAATCAAAGGTGGGTCCAAATTGAATTTACTTAAACCCAAAGTGGTTCAAGTGAACCGAATTAGGTCTGTTTGAATCTGAAGTTAATTTTTATAAAATTTTTAAAACATACCTTTCAACAATTTTGTTTTTTTTTTTGCTTTTTGGTACACGAAAATATGAATAAGCGAAGGTAAGATGATAAGCACCAATTTCTTGGGTTAGTTTTCTAAAGATTCTTTTGAGTATATTATTTCTATTTTCTAGTTGTATATAGTTGCAATTTAATTTGTTAATTAGGGTAGGGATGTTAAGTAGTCCACGAGGACTGGGTCCGGATCGGTTCTGGACCAACCAGTCTAAAACTGGTCCAGCAAACACATGATATGAATTGAGTGTCATTTTTTACACGTCGAATAAATTTTAATAAAAACGATTCCCTCCACATTTCATGTTACACAAGAAACGTGATCGTACTGTAATAGCTTTGACTTTGCACTATACAATCATTATTAATGTCAGTTTGCATCATTATGATAAATTTCGAAATTAATAATCAGTGATGTTAACCTTGCATAATAATGAGATCTACATGCGGAATTATATCATTCTTACGTACGTTCGTACGTACGTACGCACGTATGGTATGTAAAAATCTTAGCTCCTTCTAAAATAGATAAATGAAAATCATAATGTTTACCAAGAAAGGATTTTGAGAAAATCAGCCTAAGCGCCATCAAAAAGTTGAAGGAAACCATCCCTCCACATTTCATGTTACACGAGAAATGTGATCGTACTGGTATAAAATTGTCGATACGTTTGCAGTATTGTTTACGTTTTTTTTTTACGCTTTTTTTACGTTTTTTTTTAAATTCAAATGGAACAAAAAATTAATTACGATTTTAAACAACTAAATTTCAATGAGTATAAAAAATTTGCAAATGCAAACGAACCAGACGGAATTTATTTGCTAGGTTACTGTTACGAATTTGGAATTGGAGTTGAAAAGAATGAAAACGAAGCATTCAGTTATTACAAAAAATCGGCAGACCTGAATGATTCCAACGGAATTTATAAAGCTGGATATTGTTATTATTTAGGAATTGGAGTCGAAAAAGACAAGCAAAAAGCATTTGAAAATTATTTAAAATCAGCTAAAGCGGGTAATTTCAATGGAATTTGGAAAACTGCTTGGTGTTACTATTACGGAATTGGCGTGGAAAAGAATTATAGCAAATTTAATGAATGGATTGTAAAGTAAGTTAATTTTTTAATTTTTATTATTTTAAAAATTGGAATATTTTAATTATTCGATTTTAAATATCAGAGAGTAAGTAAAAAATTTATTTTGATTTACACGTTAGTTAATAAGGCTAAATATTAAAAATTATTTGTGTTAATTTAGCCCGTAAGTATAAAAAATATTTGAATTAAAAACAGCAAAGCAAGTTCACAAATCAAGAACATAAATACTTATTTACATTAATATTATGTTATACTCCAAATAATTTCATTCACATTAATTTAGTTAGTGAGTATAAAGAACATTTATCAATCATTGGAATTAAAAACAGCAAAGCAAGTTCACAAATAAAGAGCATAAATACTTATTTACCATTCTTATTATGTAATACCCTTCAAATCATTTCATTCGCATTAATTTAGTCCGTGAGTATGAATAACATTTATTAATCATTGGAATTAAAAAACAGCAAAGCAAGTTCACAAATCAAGAACATAAATACTTATTTACCATTAATATTATGTAATACCCTTCAAATCATTTCATTCGCATTAATCATTCATTCAGTAGGTGAGTATAAAGAACATTTATTAATCATTGGAATTAAAAACAGCAAAGCAAGTTCACAAATCAAGAACATAAATAC